ATCCAACTGCTAATCAGTTGCTCATGCTGAATCAGACTGCCATAACATGCTCAAGCTGACCAGGCTGTTTGCTGTTTGCTGCAAGGATGCTAGCCTGATGAATACTGATGAATACTGGTAGGCAGAGGCAGAATTTTTTTTCTTGTTTTCTTCCCCCAAAACAAATGTGTGTCTTATACTCCAGAGCATCTTACACTGTGAAAAATATGGTATTTTATTTTCCTTGAACACAAAATGTAACGTGAAAGGTTGCTGACTTTATCTCTCCTTTGGAATGAAATTGGCATTTTCTACAGCAGCAAATAGCCAATCATGTGTTTATCTTTGTTAATGTGAAGAGATTTATACAAGCAGAATGAAATGTCTAATTTAGCAAAAATGAAAGATTTTGGCATATTTGTCTCAGTCAAAACATTATTCTACATTTATTTATTTCTTCCGAGACTCCTCCAAGATAACGAGCATTTTCCAGAATGATTTTAAAAAGTATATATAATGTTTTCATATGTGTAAAGTATGTATTAAGAATTGAATTGATAGATTAATCAATTTAATAATTGTCATAATGACCTAACATTATTGCATGGTTTCATGCTATGAGCCAGCTGCAGCTATTCTTGAGCTAGGAGGCTCTATTCACAGTCATCATGCCTTAATCACCTGCCATTACTGCAACATGCTCTACATGGGGCTGCCCTTGAAGAATATTTAGAAGTTTCAGATGATACAAAAGTCTGTCACCCAGATAGTTATGGGTAATTCAGCACGTGTGACACTCCTACTCAATAAGCTGTATTGGTTTCTAGTATGCTCCCCCGTGCAAGTCAAGATGCTGATAGTTACCTTTAAATCCGTTCATTGCTTGGGAATAGATTATTTACAGGACTGCTATATCCAGCTTCCTGTTAGAGCCATCAGAAGATCTGTTATCTAATCCAAGATCCCAGATGAGAGGATTGTTGTGATGCCCTCTGGAACATAATTCCATCCCAAGACAGACTTGCATCTACCTGGAAGGTCTTTCACAAAGGCCAGTTAAATTCTTGTTTTACCTTTGAGCCTAGGCTCCAAATGGTGTGGGCAAGCACATTTTTTTTGGCTGAACAAATCACTTTGGTGTGTGATTACTAATTATTACCATTGATTATTTTTTCCCAAATGCTATTTATGTTATTTATAATTCTTCTATATTTTATTATTGTGAGCTGCCCATAACATGTGCCTGAGATGGCCTGCCATGTAAATTAATCTATAAATAAATAACTTTTCCAAAATGACCAGTTGCATTTTGGAAGTGGTAATGTAAAATCAATTCACTTTTATTGATGAATTGGTTTAAACCCAAGTAATTAGTTAGGCAAAATTATTTATCAGACAATACATAGTAATTACGCATCAATTCTGAAGTATTTTGTCCCATATATACAATTTGAACTCTTTAGCTGCATTGAAAATTCCTGAATTGTTGTTATCATGGGATACAGTTTTGGATAATTCTAAATGTATACATTTATTTTTATAGATAATTGTTGCAAATGTACATTCCAAATTGCAAGAAATTTGGGGTGAAGAGCAGGAATACCATGTATGTATAAGTCAGTGAAGTATGTTAAATAAGTATTTCATTATCTTAAGGTAATTTCCTTTTTATTGATCACAGAGAATGTTTAATGAAGATATGGGTGTAAACGTCTGTATATTGGGAGTGTTATATATGGAGGGGACATTGACACATTTGGGGAAACCTATTCTGCAGTTGTCCTGCTTTCTTCTTGGCCCCCTCTTTTAAATTCAATGACTGTTTAAAACAAAAGTAATATTTTAATCTCCTTTCTTTAAATGCATGTGTATCTGTTGTAGCAATGTGTAGGAACATAGTTATTGTGAGGAATTAGTAACATTTCTCTTTCATATTAAGAAAAATATAGAAGTTTAGAATTCATTTTCAGCTACCTTGCTTATTTTTCTCTCTTGCTTGCTGAGCAAAGCAAAAAGGAAGGATGTTCAGATAACTTCAAAGCTTCTCTTGCTGTGAAAGTCTTAGATTTTTGATTCCCACTCCAGAGTCAACTGCAAGCCAGTTAAGGTCAAGTCTTGCAAGCTCCTGACCATAGCAGGACCATAAAATCAAATGTCTCAAGGTTTTAATAAACACTTCGGAATTGATGCTTATGAGGATCTCCTGCACACAACCTAGCATTAGTATAATAGGGAAACTAGCCTCCCATGGGATATCTCTGCTGTCATTATTAAGGAGCTCTTGGAAGCTTTTAAGAGATTTGGATATTATCTTGCTTGATATGTAACATTTTTGTTTGTTTGAACTAGTAGAGCTTAACATCTCTTTATTTACTGGAGTCTTCATTGTCTCTGGATTCAAAAGAACCAATTGCCTGGGCATCTGATCACTGCCCTGACACTTGGCAAAACAGCATCCTAACCATTTTTTGATGTGAACAATTATTTGAAGTGTTAAAGAACATTAACCAACTGAATTAATCAAAGGATAAATAAAAGCAATAGGCAAATTAAAGAAAGGAATAAATTGTCTCTTCTCTCTCTTTTACCTATACTTTCTATCTTTTCTCTTCAGAATATTATTGACTGCTCTAATTATATTTCATGATTATATCTCCTATCTATAGAGGCAATTTTTATTTCACCTCTAAAATTGTTACATCTAATTGTCTCTTCTAAATGGAGAGATAACTTATACTTAAATCATGTTGGAATTGTAGAACTAAACATTTCAAAAGGTGAATTATGGAATGAAGGAAGAGGGTAATATATTCTAAACTTTATAAATAGCATGTAGTTATTTTATAAGATAGTTATCTTTTTTGTTCCTTCACCAGAGTGTTGGTGGTGAGCTCATATTATTTCAGTGAGGGATGGATTGCTCATGTTTTGCTTCAAAAGCTCAACTTTAGAGATGGGACATCTTGCCCATTTCTGAAAGTGAAATGTCGGAATGATTCAGGAGTGGCTGAAACAATTTTCCCTTTCAGATTTTTGTTATATTTTCTTCTCAATGTTTATTTTCTCTTTCTTCTAAGACACAGGTTGTGAGATGTTAAAGTACTCTGATTGCAAAAGCAGAGCTAAATGCCCCTGGGAAGAAATAATAATGAAAATAATAATAGATTAGCTGTCACTACAGTGTCTGAAATTATTTTAAAAGTTACTTACGAACTTGTCTAGGGAAGATTGACACTAAAATTAAAGGGCAGAACTGTAATTCCAAAAGTTATTTTTGAAAATAAAGCTGTCCTTTGGAGTAGATGAGCTGGCTCATGTGTAATCTTAAGGAAGTCTTCCTAGTTTCATAAAGTGTAAGTTCTATTTGTTAGTTTAAAGGTCCAGGAAGAAAAGAATTGCAGTAGATTGAAGAATTGGCTTTGTTGAGCATTATTTATCTTTTTTCTTTGTACCATTCTCTCTAAGTAAATTTGCAAAAGAAAAAAAATGTATTTTTGCCTTCTTTCAAGTGAAACTTGCATTAAGTCCTTTATCTGGCTGCCCATTAAAGAAACAAAGTTAAAGAACATTTTTCTTTTAATGATGATTCCTCATATTAAGGATTTATTCCCATAAGGCTGCTGATGTTACAAAAGTTTATTAGCTTTTAACCCCAAGTAGCCTTTTTATTACATGTCAGTATTTCACTGCTGACCCTATTTGAATTTATTATTTATTCTTCTTGACAGTAATCTTTATTTCTGCAGAAGGAAGGGTTAGAACTTTAGACTTATTTCAAATGAAATAAATTATACATCAGTGAACTGGTGTGGGAGGATTGATTAGGCACTTATCCTTAATGTGCTTTCCATCCCTGTGCTTTCAGTACTGCTTCAAAAGTGAACAAAAGCCACAAAACTACCCATTCACAGATTTAACAATGTTAATTTGTTTGGACCTGATAGCTTGATATTTGAAGCAATTTATAGGAAAGATTGTGAAATTTTTTAAATACTATTACAATATGGTATCTAGGAGGCAAATCCATTGCACCATTAAAAGAAGTGAAATACAGGGTTTCTTGGCAATCTGTAATATTTTGCGGTTAAGAGGATGCGGTTTGTTTTCATGAACTTGATTTTCTTACCTAAATAGAGTCCAACTCTTAGACTTTGTAATCTTCCAGACAGGCTAGGAAAACAATATTTGAACATCTAATGTCTTTGCCAAGCTTTCCGGGGCAGTAAATTGGAATCTGCAGCATGACACTTGATTTTTGTTATACATTAGAGGTATAATAAAATATTACAGATTTGTGTAGAATATATGCATTTACAAAACTTGTTTCATTTTCTGACATAAATTATTTATATGTTGCCTTATCTCCTAAGAAATAATGACCAGCAAAAAGCCTTTTGAATGCATTTATTATGTTCAGCAACATTTTATGAAGGGCTCTTTTACTGAAGTGGATTAATGGCAAATATTACTCACTTGGCATCCATTTTCCATTTTCCAATCAATCTTAGTACAAGTGGCTGAACATAAGCTACCAACAATATTTTCCCCATTTCCTAATTCCCAGCTACCCTGCCACTGAATGATTAACAAGCAGTCATTTTGCATGGCTAGGGACAGTGAATTGTAGTTGTTAACATATAATATTTATACAGATAAAATGAGAGTAACAGAATTACAGGGTTAGAACTGATCTTGAAGATCTTCTAGCCCAACCCCTAGCTCAGGCAAGAAGTTCTATACCATTTCAGACAAAATGATTGTCCAAACTCTTCTTGAAAACCTCCATTGTTGGAATGCCCACAACTTCTGAAGGCAATTATTCCACTGATTAATTGTTCTAACTGAAGCAATTTGAAAAGACTAAAGATCTCTATTAAAGTCCCTATTGTTGTTATGATACTGCTTGAATTTTTTTTTAGTGTAAACCACTTTTCATGTCAAGTTTCATATTACATCCAATGTTTCCAGAATTGTAATGAATAATTGTTTGTAACTAATTTTTGTTTCCATCTGTAAAACAGATAGTACAACCGAAGCACCAGCAATATCAACATCTCCAGCTATAGAAATTCGGAAGAACAGTGTAATTATGACTGAAATCACCTCAAAAATTGAAAAATTTCCCTCCACTGCCACCAGCAGTAGTGTGAGCTCCTTAGGAGAGACGGAAGAAGAAAAGGCCAAACGGTTGCTTTATTGTTCACTATGCAAGGTTGCTGTCAACTCTGCCTCCCAGCTAGAGGCACACAACAGTGGTAAGATTGAGCTTTTCAGATGGCTTGCAGAAGAGAAATATAGAAATTTCATGAATTTATTAACAATTAAACAGGGGGAAAAATCTATCTTTTCTCCTCAGAATATTATTGACTGCTCTAATTATATTTCATGATTATATCTCCTGTCTATAGAGGCATTTTTTGTTTCACCTCTAAAATTGTTACAGCTAATTGTCTCCCTAAATGGAGAGATAACTTATACTTAAATCATGTTGGAGTTGTAGGACTAAACATTTCAAAAGGTGAATTATGGAATGAAGGAAGAGGGTAATATATTCTAAACTTTATAAATAGCAGGTAGTTATTTTATAAGATAGTTATCTCTTTTGTTCCTTCAGCAGAGTGCTGGTGGTGAAGGAAAAATCCAGTATTAAAATCCAGTATTAATAAGGAAAAGGGGGAGCTTTTGATCCATAGAAGTAATTGGATTCCTTCTTCAAATACCAGTTTTCAATGCTGCTGAAGCATTTCATTGCATGAACTGTATACTGTTTTAGATGAAAGGAAAGCAGAAGCTAATCTGGCTGGATGTATAACATTAAGCAGAATTTGAAAGAGACACTTAACGTTTGCACAATTGCATTGCTGTATTAGAAAAAAAATCAGCTAAATATAAATATACATAGATGAATACACACACATCTTAATCAAAATTATTTTTTTCATTCTTCAACACTGACACATTTTATCAAATGACATGCCTTACATTAATTTCACAACCACTTAGAAAGTACCTGTATCTTTTAAGAAGATTATATGAACAATCTAACTAACAATCTAACTGTATCATAAATGAAAATCTTTAAAGGAAAAAATCCCTCATTTCCAAACCATAGTTTCTTCTCTCCTCTTGGACTTGAGTGCTTCCAACTATTTTATTTAGTACTGTTAAGCTACAATCTAATTCAGCTGGTGCAGTGAAAGCAAGACAACTTACTTGATTCACTGAGTATTAGAACAATAAAACCAACCTAACCTTTAACCCCACCATTTATTTTATTCATTCAAATATTTAAACTAATATAATATAGCTAAGAAACACAAGTATTTCTTATAACAGTGTTGGTGAATCTTTTTGGCACCAAGTGCTAAAATGGAAGCGCAAGTGCACATTTGGGGAGCACTGGAGGCCGGAAGAGCAGCTCTCCAGCATGCACACATACACACATGCACAGGAGCACCAGCAACTGGAAGAGCAGTTCCTTGTTATGTATGCACACGCCAGGAAGCTCAGCTTCTAGTTTCCAGTGTGTGCATGCATGCCAATTATCTGCTCTTCTGGTTTCCAGTGTCTCTGAAGACCAGCCGGAACCTGGAAGAGCAACAGGTGACAGCTGCTGTGCCCAAAGAGATGGCTCTGCATGCCACTTCCAGTATGCATGCCATAGATTCACCATCACGGTCCTATACTTATATATTTGAGGTTATTTTATGTAATCAATCATTTTTAATTTTTCAAATTTAGACTGAATTTATTGTAGCATCTTTTTTTCTATTTTATAAGTTTGTTATTTTTATTTTGTGCATAGATCCCAAAACAATCCTTATTGAATTTCCCTTGTATCATGTATTCCAAAAATGTATTTATTTGTTAGATTTATGTCCTGCCTTTTCTCCAGGATGTCAAGGAGTCATATATAGCATTCATTCCTCTGATTTTCCCCTCAGAACATCTTATAAGGTAGGTTAGATTGGGCTGAGATTGATTGGCCAAATCCAGTGAGCTTCTTAGTTGAGGTGAACCTGTAACTGGGTCTTCTTATATATATGCTGGTCTGGTTGTATTTGGGTCTTTTCCCTTGTAAGATTGAGATTGTCTTGGCAACATTTCGGTGATGTCTCACTTGCCATCTTCAGGCTGGGTTTTGGAGCTGCCGTCTTTCTATAAATCTTGGTGGGGGGAGGTGTGGAGTGCTGGCTTTGTTTCAGTAAGTGGAATGATTTATTGTGTGGTTGTAGCATGATTGGTAGATTGGTGTTGATTGATGCTGGCTGTGTGTCTATTGTTTTGTGTGGTAAAGGCCTGGGTGGTTGGTGGGGCACGTTTGTTGACTAGGACTGGTTTCCAGATGTCTGGTAGGTGGGAGGTAGTGTCACGTTTATTCATGTTGTGGGGGTATTTCTCTATTTCGATAGCTTCCATAATTATGGATCTGGATCTGGATATATATGTGTGTGTGTGTGTGTGAGAGAGAGAGAGAGAGAGAGAGAGAGAGAGAGAGAGAGAGAGAG